GACATGTGTATCATTGAAAGGACTGGGGAATCTGGGACGCTGATGGAACTGGCGCTAGGGACCCGGACCCCAACACACACACACACACTCACACACACACACACACACACACACACACACACACACACACACACACACAGCTGAGGTGTATCCCGGTGCTCATTAGAGCCGGTAATAAGGCTGTGCTGCTGGAAGAGGAGGGAAAAAACAGGGAGAGGAAGAGAGCGAGGGAGGGAGGAAGAGGGTGGGAAGGGAGAAAAAGAGAAAAAAAATGGGAGATTTTAAATTTTAATAACACTGGTACGATTTTGTAAATCTTTCCTGACAGAAAAGTCCTCATTATTTTCATCTGTCTCCAAGGAGCCTCTCCTCCAGCTCTGCCTCCCCGTGGTAAATGGACTTCTCTCTCCTTTCCTCACTTTCCCTCTGTTTCTCTTCACCTCTCTATTTCTGTCCCTCCACTCTTTCTCTCTTGTTTTTCACTCTCAAGCTGCTTTATTGTCCATTTCCGTCCTTCCTGTGTGCTTTATTGTTTTGCTCTCCTTTTGCACTCGTCATTTTGACACACTCCCTCCGTCTCTCTCCCTCCCTCTCTCTCTAACATTAATGCTGTATATCTGTGTATTTCCATGGAGTAAGGTGTGAGCTGACTGGCTGCGTGCAATGAAGGAATATCAGGAGCCAATGGAATGACCAGTATTATATACTGTTATTGGCTGGCGTCTTAGTTACAGTTACACTTGGTCTGTCTTCATGTTTTATAGTTTTTTTTCGTGGGGGGGAGGGGGTGCAAAGACAGAAAATACTTGATAATAATATCATGGTGGGGAGCAGGGTAAAGGTAAGCCTTCTCAAACTCAGTGTGTGTATGAGTGTGTATATGTGGGTCAGCATGTATGTGTGCACCCTTGTACGTGCGCTGTGTGCATCACTTACACACACGCCTCACCCCCACCCCCCCCCACCTCTATGTCAAGTGTCAAAGCTGGAGGATGGATCCGGTTTGATAAGTTCTGTTCTGTCTGGCCACGTGTCAGGACGGGATCAACCATACGGCAGAGGAAAACCATGTTCTTCACTCTCCTACCTCCCAATTTTGGTTTTTATTATGGTTTTCGGGGGGGGGGGGGGGGGCTGCTTCTGTTTTGAGAGAAATTTTAATGGAGGTTAAAAAGACTTAAAGTTTAGAAGCTAAGTTCATAGTGAAGTGCTTTGCTGATCAAGATTAAATCTACAAGTCTCAGGATGTAGATGAGGATTGTGAAAATGATCCGTCCTCTGATTGTGTCTTCTTTTTCTTTTTATAAACACCGGTTGTTACAAGCGACCAAATAGAAAAACAATATTGGTAAGACTTTGCGTGATGGGATTCTAATAGAAAAAGAATAAATGGGACACCCACATACTACGGCTTGAGTCCATGTGTTTGGTTTTGTCCCGTCCCTTTGCTGCGTGTCCTCCTCCATCCTCTCTCCACATTTCATGCTAACTGTCCTATCACTCAAGGCAAAATGCCTCCAAAAATGTCTTTAAAAGAGAAAAAGAATAATGTCCCAGCCGACCTGTGATGTAACACAGGTAGTGCCTCTGCAGCCTCCTCACCTCTGTGGTGGTTAAAGGTTAATAAGGTTAATCATTGATCACCACTGTCTCCTCCTCAAGCTGTCAGAGGAAAAGACTGTGGCTATATACAGTGTCACAGACGCTATATTCTTTAATGGATTTTTGCATTGCTGCTGTGAATTATGACTGTACCCCCCCACCCCTCCCCTGCCAGTACAGGTCTGCAGGTCCTGTGGTCAAAGGTGGTTCATGAACGTCTCATGATCAAGCTGCGGTTTGACTTGAATTATCACGAGCATTAGAAAACAGTTGTGCGAGGCTGTGATTATTGGCTTAGTCTCCATACTCGGTTTCTCACAGTGATTTAAATCACACAGCTGGTGGAGTGAAAGACCTACTTTGAGTTGTGGCAAGATTGAGTTTGACCTTAATTTATTTTACAGAGTTTAGTTACTTTGGCAGCTTAAAGATATAATATGAAACAACTCTTCATTAAAACGTCTAAAAACAACTAGACCTATTTTAAATGTTTTGTTGACTTACAATATTCAGAATGTTTCTAACAGTCCCCAATTAAATTGAAGGTGTTTCAGTTTGGTCGCCTTTTAATTGCATCATATCTGATTGGCCTGTGGCTGAGCCCGTCTCTGCTAAAATGTCCGGGGCATTGTTTTGTTTGTATTGGTCACTCGTAATGGATCACGATTAATCATTGCCATCTGCTGCGTGACATGAATAAAACTTTAATACCATACCTCCTCATCCGTGAACTTGATTTCCGCCTGAGTGGCATCAGGGAGATATTCATTGGCAACGCCGGCGAAGACAACAACTCCCATGATCCCATGGTGCTTCGCGACATCATCAAACTAGTTCTGTTATTATTGTTTTTGATTGAGACACCTCCAGTGGCCAAAGTTAAATTTGTTACATTTCCTGTTATTGCCACAAATAACAGTTTAGGTCAAAATGAGTTTGAAAACACGTGTCCCCTGAGGGAATAGTTCTTAAATAGCCGGACTGTCGTGTTCCTCTGCTTTCAACACTTAATTGTTTGAAGTCGCTCAGTGTTGTTTGCAACCAAATCAGACTCCTTTAATGAATGCTATTATTACAGAACTGAACCCCCCTCTCTCTGTTCACACCCCAGCTCCTCATCCAAGAGGCTAAACTAGCTTCCTGTTCATTTCTTCACCCCCCCGCCCCACACACACACACACACACACACAGGCCTCTGGTCGTCCTCCCCTCTTTTCCCCAGCTGTAAAATTAACAAACAACACAAGGCGATCTGGATTCTCCCAACACACTTAGACACCTCCTCTGGGTATTTGGCTGGGATAAATAATCATTCTAAATAATGAATGTCAATTAATAGGGGGAGATGTGGCCTTGCTAAGTACGCTCTGATTAGTGTTTCAGAGGGATCTCCTCCCCAGCTGGATCCAGCCAATCATCACAGCCTCATCCGAACACCGGGATCATCCCGGCCTATCACAGCATCCCAGGCTCTTACCGTAACATAGACACGAGGGCATTTTGCAGCTTATTTTTGTTATTCTTTTATTGTTTTATCTTTTTAATGTTATTTTCACGGGTGAGACATTCACCAGGGTGAAGACAGGACCTGTAGCAACACAGTATTAAAATGCCATAACTGGTGCATGTGTTGTACAAGACTTTCACTGTATACACGCATGACAATTTCATGGTAATGTATGCATTTATTCAAGGATAAACTGTCTAGTTATAAAGCAGCACTGCACACAAACAGTAGCTGTGATTAGCTCTCTGGTGTTATCCAGTGAGAGCGTCACCGTACGTCAGGAAAACGCCAGCGTTGTGTTCCTGAGAAGACGTTCATGTGAGACTAGAGATGGTCATCTCAGTAATTAGAGATGGAAACCGTTCAACTAACCATCAGAAATTTTACCACAATGAACCATGAAACTGTTTTCCTCTGCGTGAAACAAGTGATTGTTTATATTTTTTCATAGATTTTAACACTATGGTCTGAAAGTGATAAACAGTGGTAGTGGTAGTATTCCGCTGCTCACTAACATCGCACTTTTGTCTCCAATGGGAATGGAGTAAATCGGCATCAATCGGTCAAACGACTCTGAATTATGGCACCTGGGTGAACGTGCTAATTTGGCAAGACAGCGATGAGAGGGAGCTCCTAGTTGTTGGTTCGTGTTTGACGTCGACCAGGGTTTAAAAAGCAGAAAGGTGGCTGGAGAGTCTGTTGTGATACAGATCGACTGTGCCGCTGTAACATTTTGTCGTTGTTGCCTCTATCGCAGTGGGCTTTAGACCGAGTGGCCCGTTGAGTCCACTGCAGGAGTGAGTTGGTGGCCTGGACACGGCTGTGAGCTGTACTGGTGTGTCAGACTTTAGAGGGTAGCAGGGTGACTGAGCAACCAGCCAGTCCCCCCACCACCACCACCTCCTCCCCAGTGATAAATGGCCACAGCATGGGCTATTCATCTCCTGCTTAGAGAGGTGGACAGTGCCCCCCCCGCCACCTCCTCGGCCTCTCCTCCACCCCTCCACATGTCAGCAAATGTGATAATTCTCTCATTTGTCAGGAGCAGCGGAGGGTTCGTGAGTTGGTGTGTGTGTGTGTGTACGAACTCTGGAGGATTGTGGGTGGGGGGTGGGGGGGGGTGAGTTGCTCAAGCACCCAGTTCTCTCCTCTGCTCCCAGCTTTGTGTTTTTTTGGTTCAAAGCCCCCTCTTGTCAAGTTTACTTAGGTCACAGTGGGAAAATTTAAATGTGCAAAAGAGTGAGTCGTTTTATGGCAAATTCCATCAGTAATTCACTGATTTTATTACCTCCAGGAAACTACTGAGCCACTTTTTCCACTTTATTGTGCAAATAAAATTTTAGAGCCTGTCTGCAATGTGTGTGTGTGTGTGTGTGNGTGTGTGTGTGTGTGTGTGTGTCATACTTGTTTGGAAGTGTTTTGCCATGTTCATATGTGTGCGAACGTCAGTATGAAATTTTACTGCTCCTGCTACAAGTGTGTGTGCAAGTCCGAAATAATTTGTGAGACGTTTTCCAACAGGCCTTTGCAAACACTATGCAGTTTTGGAAATAGCATCGTATAGTTTGTGTGTGTGTGTGTGTGTGTGTGTGTGTGTGTGTGTGTGTGTGTGTGTGTGTGTGTGTGTGTGTGTGTGTTCAACACTCCCCTGCCAATGCTTGTGTACTTGTAAATACCATGTATTCAGACCCCATGGTAGCTATTAAACATGATAAACCTGCAGTTGATGGCCGGTCATTTAGTTTGCACATAAACATGTGACTGTTTAACGTGTCCTGACTTTTTTTCTTGTAGACACAATATGACTTGTGTGAACCCATTCCTGACATGTCTCCCTCTTTTCTTTCTTTCTTTCTCCCTCTCTCCTTCTCTTCTTTCTCTCTCTCTGCAGGATCATCCAGAACCGTGTCCTGATCTTCATCCTCGGAGCCATCATCCTTCTCACCATCATCCTGGCCATCTATTTCAATCTGCGAGGCCACTGATCTCTACACACACACACACACACACACACACACACGTACACACACACACCCCTCCTTCCCGACACAAATACAAACACACACACGCGTGATTAATAGCGACAAAAGCGTTGTTCTGCTGTAATTAGGACAAATGGTCCCCATGAATCACTGTTTCCAAAGCCTGACAGGGAGTTTTTTTTTTCCATCTCTTTCCTGTTCGATGGCCCCTCCTCTCTTTTCTTTCCCTCTCTTACCTTTTTTTTTCTGCCACTTTGCACTTCCCTTTCTTTCTTTTTTCCCCTCTGTCTTTTCACCTCTTCAGCTTTGTCCTCTCTCTGTCAGGCGTTCTCCTACATTTCCAGGGACAAGGATTTGGGGGCGGTGAGATGTTTTTATGATAGTTCATATTTTTCACCGTGTCATCCTCAGCTTAGTTTTGCGGCTCATCGTGTCCCGAGGTGAACGAGGCCTGGGGGAGTTTTTGTAACTCGAAACAGATTCAGATACCTAGATGTTTTTTTTCTGTGATCAGAGGTGGGTCAAGTGTGTGTGTGTACAGACACAGAGAGAGGGAGGTATAAAAATGTGTTTGTTATTAACACCAACAGTAACACACATGATTCAGCTGTTCTTCATGTGGCCCAGCTCAGAGGACGGTGCCTTCAGATAAGATTTACTTCTCACACTCCTTTAAAAAGCTCGGCAGAGCCCGAAATAGATGAGTGGCGCTGCTTCACAAAGACGATGCACATGAAAAGGTCAGTTCACAGTTAAGGTGAAGGTTCATTTTTATTAAGAAAGAATTTGAATTATTTCTTTCAAGGATAGATGAACATTTCAAGAGTTTGCAGATTGAATTAACAAAATGATAATCTATAAAGTTTTAATAGAAGATAGAACTGTCACCAGTCTTTAAACATACGATACAGAGAAAGGTTTAAATGTCCATGATTCCCCTGCACGTCCCAAACCCAGATTTCCATTCTCATCCCTGCAGACTTTATAACATAACTTTCATTGTGGAGGATTATCTGCATCATACTGTTTGTACTAACATTTAAAACACCCATGTATAGTGTTTTGCTCTCAATACAAGTGATTCTATGACTATTTATTTATAAATGAGTTTACGATTAAGTCTCTGTGCTAGAACTGTATATTTGATCAAGTTTGTAGGTTTTCACAATTAACATTTTTTTCATTTTCATTCATTTTTTACGTTTTGTTTTTCCTGATTCAGTGATTAGACAAAATTCTGACTTCACACCAGGACCAACAAAATGTTTGGATTTGTTGTTTTTGCTCCTGTTCTGATAAATGGATCTAACTTGTTTTAGAACTACTTTTTTTGTTCCATATTTTTCTTGTCAACTTCTGACGACTGTGTCGCGGTCCTTGTTTCTCTGTTTATCTGTATCCTCACTGATGATGTGATACATTTGCAGGTGTTTGAAAAACATGTGCGAGTTTACCGCTGTTTAATTCTTCAGGGGAAAGCCATTCTTCAGGGGGTCTTGGAAAAATCTAAATTTAAGAGCATATTAGGAGATTTTTCTGAAGTCGAGACGCGTGAAGGTAACGGCGTGCACACTGCAAACACACCCACACTTACACACACAGGGAAGAGCGTTGGAGCGCGCACGTATCTCCTTTGGTCGGCGTGGCGGTTCCCAGCGAGGACATTTGCTATTCTGTTTTAGGGCCACGGTCTTCATTTTCGAAGATGCAGGGGCGTCTGGGGGGGAGCGAGGGTCCCCACCCCCAACGCGCGCAGCCTCCCCCCCCCCTCCCTCCTACCGACCACCATTTCACAGGCCCTCACCAGCCGCAGCGCCACAGTCTGCATCAAAGCCTCAAATTAATGGCCGACAAAATAGTGTGCCTCTGACCGTCCCATGCGGGGCCGACCCACCAAGAGTTATCATTAAAGTCAAGGAATGATGAAAAAAGGAAGGAGGAAAAAAAAAGAAAGGGGGAAGGGAAGAGGAAGGAAGTGAAGAAGGAAGCGTGGGGGTGGGGGGGGGGGATGAAATCCCTGGCAGTTTGACAAACCTCATCTGGTAATGACCCTCAGTGATTGTTTTTCACCCCGTGCACAGAGCGCGTGCATGTGTGCGTGTGCAGACTACCTATGTGCCGATGTGCTGTCTTCTCTTCCTCTCCCTCCCCATCCCTCTTTCTCCCCCCACTTCTCTCTACCTCTCCTGCCACCTTTTCTCCTCCTCCCTGTCCTCCCCTCCCCTCCCTACCTCCCAGCCTGTCAGATGAGCGGAGCGGTAGGTAGCGAGTGAGCGGTGGAAAGCAGCGTGGCGGCGGCTTCTATTTGAAGTTGTAATGGTGTCAAAAAGTCAGGGCTGACTGACAGACGTCAGTCCCACAGGGCCTCATTAAAAACAGACCCACTTGACAAGGAAATAATTGAGCGCCGGCGACAACTCAGGGGCCCCTCCGTGTTTTTAGATGTTTTTATTTTCTTTTCATTATTAGCACCGAGCTATTATGTTCATTAAGAAATGGCATTAAAACAAGTTTTTAAAAAGAGAGGAGAGGGGAGGGAGGGGCCGAGGGGGAGGCAGGATGTGTGGAGGTGGAGAGATAACGATTTGTTTAGAGCCCCCGTCCTGTTTTATTATTTAAACAGGGGCACTGTCATGTGATACCTTGGCAGACATCGGCTATCATCTGCCTCTCCTCCCTTTTTTCCCTCTTTTTCCCCTTTTACTCATCCCTTACTCCCCCCCCCCCAGCTTTTATCTTCCCCATCCTCTGTCCACCTTTCTCTTTCTCCACCTCCCCATCCTTCTCCCCTCGTGTCATCCCTTTCTTTCTCTCCTTCTGAGCGGCGGGTGTCGTCGGAATATGAACTAGATTATTCATCAGTGCCCCCACCACCCGTTCCCACCCCCATCCCCCCATTTGCTGATTTGGTTTTCGACAAGCGTCTCGCCGCAGAAGGCTGAGGATGAAAACTTGTCAAAAATAGGATATATCTTATTCCAAGGGGCAACAATAGCAGCAGGTACAGACACCTTTAATATTTAATTTAGACGGGTGTTAACCCTCCTTAAGTGACTGGAGCTGTGTCTTCCATGCAGACACCAGGAGAGAGACTCTAGAAAGAGGGAGGGGGAGAGCAATTAATTATTTGATGTCTGAAAAGTGATTGTGAAGCCCTCCCTGCCTCCTCCTGTTTGCCAGAGAAAGGATGGAGTCTTTGGGTGTCCCTGTTCATCTCCTACACCAACCACGTCCTCAGCCTGGCCGCCTCGCGAGGAGTCAAACATCTCAGCATTTAGATCCTCGCTCCGCTGCACCTCAACTTGATACAGCGAGTGATCGTATAGAAACGGTTTTTGGTCTCATCTGCGGAACTTATTTTCCAGAGGATTTATCTCTCTACACCGCCGACTTGCATCAGCCCATCTCGCCGTGGCATCCCCTGGTGCCCGTGCTCGGCAGTCGTCCCTGTTCTCCCTGGTTCTTTCTAGAACATAAAAGTAAAGAAGGGGTTCTTCCACGAGGAACCTCTGTGATGCACCTCCATTACATAAAGCCTGATGTTTGTCAGCCATTTAGGACGACAAGGGATTGTGACAAGCGTCGTTTGAGCTGTCGGTCCCCCCGGTGCAGGGCGGGCCTTAAACGGGATAAACAGCTCCAGTGGTGGGATCACGACAGGAGGGTGGGCACTTTATCTCCAGGAGTGTCCATGATGCTTCAACACACACACACTCGCTCTCTCTCACACACACACACACACACACACACACACATGTATATATATTAAATGAGCCCCCTGCAACAGCTACCCAAGAAAAACCCACAATGCCACTGTTTGAGAACTACAATGAATCTTCTACTGTTTGATTCAGCAGCCCCCCCCCCCATACATACACATGCTCCAGTGTACGGCTGTTAAAAGAGGAGCCATGTTCTCCTTTTGTACAAACCACCAGTCCTGGTAGAATGGCTTTCTTTCTCTCCTCATTTTTTTTATTTTTTTTTATCTCGTCTTTTCTTTTCGCACCCATCAGCGCCGTCGACCATTTTACTCGTGCTTGCGCCTCACAAAGAAATGACAATGCCCCCCATTATTTGAGGAAGTTACAGGGGCTGCAGCCGTACGTACACAACATGGATGTTTGAGTGCATGCGTGTGCGGGACGGAGCCGGAGGCTGCGTTGAATCGTCTGTATGCATATTTGTTCATGTGCGTCTGTAATGTCCGCTCTGACTCATTGTTCCTGTCGACCAGGATCTGCGGTACATCTTGTTCCACCAATCGGAGTCTGAGCTGCTCCTAAAACTATAAAGATGTGATTTCTGTCAGTGTCAGTGTTTGTCATTAAAGCAGTTCTGAATCTCTTAAACCAAAGACGCTGTGTCATACGCCTTTCTGGACGCCGTGTGCTGACATTGAACACACACACACACACACACACACATAAGATAACACTCCCGGCTGACTCCCTAGGAACAGATGAGAAGGTAAAACTGTGAGCTGACATTTGTGAACCTATAGTTGTTGTCTGACTCATTTTAGAATTTCTTTCGTGGAAGACTCTCTAATAACATTTCCCCGTGCAGACAACGGAATCACTAAGAGCCGGGTCAGAGCTGCACTGAGCCGGGCCAAACCACTTAGCACCACCTCCCTCTTCCATCTCCATCTTACCTTCCCTCTCTCTCTCCCTGTAGAATACTGCCACAGCCTTTGATCTGAAATTAACACTTTACCACTACAAAGGCAAACGGTTGGAACCAGCACTGTCGTTTGCAGGATGATGTGGAGTTGGATTAACGGAGCTGCTTTTATTTTGCAGAGGCCGTTTCTTAATTATTGTGTGACCTTTGCCCTTTCAGTGTAATTCCTTCCGACTTCCTGGATGCAAATTGATATAAATTAGTAATTTACGTTTTTTCATACCTCTGCAAAGGAGGTTATGTTTTCACCCCTGTCCGTTTGATTGTGAACAATATTACCCAGAAATCACTTAACGGATTTCTTTGAAACCTGGTGGAAGGATGCGGTATGGCTCAGGCAAGAACAGATTCAATTTTGGGGAGGATCCATCAATTGTTTTTCACTTTCGTTAAGATTGTGAGATTCATTTTTCTACATTTCCCCTTGTTATAATTTATGGATCCTAGTGAAAATATCTGGAACATTTAGTTAACTGATATGATCGTGTGTAATTTGTTGCAGCTTGATCAAATGTAAGTGGACTGTTGGGCCTTGGCGGATGCATGCGCTCTATGTACTGACCATGTGTTCTGGTTTTGGATAGTTCAAGAAGTGAATGTGTTTTATTTAAGTTTATTAGAATTTTTTCTGCTGTCTGTTTTAAAAGTGGACAGAAGATGTAAAGAGAGAAACGAGGTGTAAAGAGAGAACAAGCTCAGGTTGCCTGCGAGGCATTCAGTGGCCAGGACGTTCAGAGAGAGAGAGAGAGAGAGGAGGGTTTTAGTCAGACTCGCCCCTGTACAGTAATTTACTTTGCATATGGTGTCTTAGCAGACACGATTCTAAATTTCCAACTGGGAGGCATCAGTGGAGGAATCACTGTCTTCAAAAGACGGCCTGCCAGTCACGCTCCTCTCGTAGCCGGAGATCTGAGCGTGCGGTGATAACCCGCGACATCTTTCTGGAAAAACGGGGAGTCGATCAGCTTTGATGGAGCACATCCGCCGTGACAGGCTACTGAAGAGCTCGTTAATGAAGGGGGGGGGGGGGTGCTTCGCTTAGCATGACAGCCCAGAGGAGAGAAGTGGGGGATGGATGGATGGATGGATGGACAGATGGGAGGATGGAGAAGGTGGATGGATGGATGGATGTTCGCTGTGGAGCTACCTCAGGTCGCAGGTGGATGTAGGGATGCCTGGATGATAGAGAGAGACGGGAATGAGCGTTTGCATTGTCTTTCATAAAAGGACACCCCCCCCCATACAATCACACACCCCCCACCAGCAGCCTGTTACCCCCACCCCCCACCCACCTTTACAAAACCTCAGATGGTTGGTGGCAATTAAAGATTCATGAGAGGGCGGCCAATCCCTTGGCCCGGTGGCCAGTTTGTTCCATGTTGGCCAGGAAGTGGAAATGGATTCTTATGAGGGGGGTCTGTGTTGGAGGTTGGTGGGTGGGGTCAATTGAATAAGTCCAAAGGTCACAGACCCTGTATGATGTCCTCTTATATACCCCCCTCTCCAGCTTCTCCGAGTACTGTGACACACTCACCAATACACGGTAGAAATCCTGGTTGAATCTGCTCAGTCTGGACCAGATCAAGGTTCAGGTCTTTGTTACATTGTTCACATTTCCTCCAGCAGATTAGGGATCGCACAAAATACCTTTATACAGCATATGTACATCCTGTCGTCACCTACACAGGTTTATTTGTACTTGGCATGTATTGGTTTGCAGACGAGCGTGTGTCTGATGTCTGCATGTTGTAGACAAAAAAATAAACTAAACCAAACCCCGGATCCTCCTCAATCATTAAAACGCTTCTATTCCAGCCATCAAGGTTAATATATACATGTCACTTGAGTCCTCACAGAAATGATCCAAACTCCAAATTATGAACCAAACTTTCCCAGAAACACTCTCTTCCACAGCCTTGCAACCCAAAAAGCTGCAGCTCATAATGACGAATAGAGCACACACTCGCTCACACACTCGCTCACACACTCGCTCACACACTCGCTCACACACACCAAGTACACACACCTCTCTATTGAGACATATGAATGTGGCAACAAAATACACAACTTTTTGTTCATCTCAAGGACTTGCGAGGGCCCCAGTGAACTGAGAGGCCATATTGATTTTCCCTCTTTTCATGCTGTGACTCTGGGATTACCCATTTTCTCATTCATTTTTAAAGACAACTCGTGAGATTCTTCCCCTTTTCTCTCTGTTTTTTCCTTTTTCCATCGCCGCCGACAC